TTTAAATGAGGCTGATTTGCAAAAAGAATTCGAGATTTTCATGAACTTGACCAAATGATACAAAGCACATGGCCAAATATTGCATATCATATATATAATTACGATTGGTGATTTTAATGAAGCTCCCTAAAGTCCGCAGCGATTACATTTTAACATGCATGGCTTATCGTTTATCTCCGTCATATTGCATCACTTCTCATGTCTATACATTTGCATTAGAAAACGAACGTTTGATAAAATTACAATCTTTGTAATTTCTGAAAGGGCGAATTTTAATTTTAATTGTAAATTATGATGTCTTCATCTTCGCAAAACATTAAGAGAGAACTCCATGGGTCTGATCAACGAGTGAAAATTGATGAAAGATCGCCGTTACTTTCAGAAACATCTAGCGTTGGCCTTAACGTTCGATTAAATACAATAAAAGCCTTTAAAGCTCGTGAAGCATTTTACCTTCTTAAAAAGGCAGTGCCTGCTCTATTAGCTTTTTTGTTTCTACAAGCTTTACAAGTTACCAATGTATTTTTTGTAGGACATCTGGTAAGATTTTTATAAAGAATAACAATGGTTGATTATAAAACTTATCATATTAATTTTATGGAATATTGCCCTGAAACTGCAAAAGGGACAAACGAAACTAGCTGGCCTTGCATTAGGCACTATGGTAAATAAAAATAACATTTAATAATAATTTAATTATATCAGATATTTATATTCATATAAATAAAATTTTTAGTATGCCGCGGTTACTTGTTGGTCAATAGGATTTGGCGCAACTGCAGCGTTGGATACACTTTGTCCACAAGGTTATACGTCAGGAAACCCGAAAATGGCTGGTATCTATACGCAACGAGCCATCATAATAATGATGCTTGGGTTTACACCTATAGGAATTATTTGGTTGTTTTCCGAAAATATTTTGATTAGTCTAGGACAAGAAGCAGAATTATCTTATTATGCTGCGTTATATCTGCGTTATTTACTTTTGGGAGTACCACCAGCCCTTATTTTCTGGTGTTTGGAAAAGTTTTTGCAAGGCCAAGGTGAAAAAAAAATTTATAATAATATTATAATAATATTATAATAATTTTAAGAATATATTTTATGACATAGTTTCTCAATTCTTTTGTGATTAGGCATCATGAAAGCAACAACATATGTTCTTATAATATGTTGTCCAATAAACATTTTCCTCAATTATATTCTCATTTGGGAGCCATTTTCTCTTGATTACATTGGGGCACCTATTGCTACTACAATAACAAATTGGTTAATGTTATTTCTCACTATCCTTTATATAAAATACATTGACGGACATGAAGCTTGGGGAGGGTGGTCACATTTAAGCTTCAAAGATTGGTCATCATTCACGAAACTAGCATTACCAGGGATGTTAACATCATGCGCTGATTGGTGGATTTATGAACTGATCGCATTATTTGCTGGTTATTTTGGAAGTGTATCTCTAGCAAGTCATCGGTTAGTTCTTACTATAAGTCTGATATTATATCAGATACCACATAGCTTGGCTGTAGCAGCTTCAAATAGAGTTGGTAATTTGTTGGGAGCAGGACTGGCAAATAGAGCAATAATAACTACAAACACGTCGCTCTTACTTGCCGTCATGGGTGCTACATGCAATGCATTGATATTGCTTAACTTTAAAGAACCTTTAGGGTAATTATATTTAGAAACATAAATTTTTATATAAAAAAAGGTTAACTAACATTAATAGTATTTTTTGTTCGTTTAATAATATTTTATAGACGTTTATTTACTAACGACGAAGATGTTGTTAATATGGTAGCATCAATTTTACCATTGGCAGCTATATTTCAGGTACATTTATTTATAAACAATACAAATTTTAATCATAAAGTATATTAATTAATATATTTATTAATACATGATACAAAATATAGCTTTCAGATGGAATTGGTAATATAGGGAGTGGCGTTCTTCGTGGACAAGGACGATTAAAAATGGTTGCAGCAATATTTCTTCCAGCCTTTTATTTAATTGGTTTACCTTTAGGTCTTATTTTTTCATTTAAACTTAATATGGGTTTAAAAGGACTTTGGTTAGGTGTTACTTGTGCTTCTATAAGCATGGCTATTGGAATATTTTTAGCAGTATCAATGACTGATTGGAGATGGGAGATTGAAGAATGTCATCGAAGAATTAAAATTGAATTAATTGATGATCGTATAGTTGAAGAATTATAACTGCTTCATTCTTTATAAAAAATTTTAACAAGTTACAATATACCGGTAACTATGAAACTTATTTATTAAATACAATAAAAAAAAAAAAACAAGCAAGTAAACAAAAATTTATTTCGAATATCGTAACTTTCTAATTACGTGGTCTTTTGAATATTCTTTTTGTTTCGATGCCCATGTAACAAATTTTATCACGCCTTCGTGATCCAATAATTTATCCACCGTATTATATTCATAGGCCATTTGTTCGTGAGAAATCATTTTATGACAAGCACTGTGACAGGGTCTACAAATATTTGTACCTTTTGTCAAACATTCTTCTTTAGTGAATAAGCCTTTCTTAAATACTCTTTTATGCATTGCACGAGGAATTAAATGATGAAAAGTAAGTGGCATATGCCTATGGCATAGCTCACATGTTCCAGGTTCATGAGATTCTTCTTCTTCTTCTTCCTCGTCATCATCCTCATCATCCTCTTGTTGCGAGGTTTGTGTAGAAATTGAAGTAGGATTGAAAGTAGTTTTCAACTTTGTAACTAAGGATTGGCAAATTTCTAAACACTCTTGTCTATTTTGACAAACTTCAAATGTTAAAAAATCATCATTTACAACATCACAAATTTTTTCAACAATCTCCTGTTCTGATATAGATTTAACTGAATTGCTAGATTTAGTGGTATCTACAAGAATTAGTGATATAATATCTAAATCCCAAACTTGCTCGGCTAGATATTCTATAGAGTCATTATCCGAAGCAATAATATTTGGATTATGATTGCATAATACTTGATAAAATGTGGTACGAAATAAGATAAGATTTTTTTGAGTTCGTGATTTAGATTTTTTAGAAGAGACGGATTTCGAGTGACGTTTGATGCTAAAAGTAGCCTGCATTACGTACTATGATATCTTGAAAGTTAATTACAAGATGAATTTTTGATCTATTATGCGTACTACAGTGTTTGTATATTTTATATTATGATATTTAGTTAGTGTCACAATTTATATTGTATAATTTATTCTACTGTACCCCGATAGGATTGCTAACTATCCATTAGTTTGTGTAACTTCACATGAGTCACCAATAATGCAGTAATGAAGATACCATTGTTATCATTTACGGCCTGATCTAACGCTAATGATAAAAAAATCTGATTGTGCATCTACGACGATTTTTCATGGTGATATCGTTCGAAGAAGGTATAGCAACAGAAGGAATTCATTTTATGATACAGTATATAAAATTTTATTTCGTTTGCCTTCATTTTCAAGAATCGGTTTTATAATACCCGATTTTTATTTTCCAATTCTGTAATTACTAGTCTCTTACATTCCACTAAATCCTTAACTTTAGTATTGACTCGGGTATAATACAGGGGTCTATTGCTAAGGTATCCTACTTACGATATTTCTCAGTGACCCAAAAACCACAATCAAATGTTATCACATTAAGTTTCTGCAAATTCTCGTGAATAGCTTTATGAGGTTTAAGAATTTATCTATTTTGAGAACTATAAAGACCAACTATTAATAACACGTTATAAATATTACAAATAGAGTATAAACACATATAATATTTATATTTAATTGAGGCATTTTGTTAACATTCTATTACAATATTAAAAAAAATTAAACTATATTCGAAATTTTTAGGTCGTAAATTTACCAGTATTTAAATTCGAGAAATCTATCGTACTTTGGTCTATTGCTACGTACTTCTGTGCAAGACGCGTGTGTGGCTCCAGACTAAATTTTGAGGTAATCATTAACACAAAATACCGATACTTATTCATTCTGTTGGCATGCATAAATTTTTTTTATACGTAATTTCTTCTAGACTTTCAAAGGGAAATTCGTTTGCATATAATTAAGACTTTTTACGTGCCGTTTTATTTGCCTATTCACTAATTACGGAAAGTTGTGAAATAATTATGATAAGTGATCACTGGTTTACTTACACAAATAAGGTTGCCAATCGAATTTGAGCATACAATGAAAATACGCATAAATTTCCTTGTACTGTACTGTTCGAAGTAAAAGTGCACGTACATATATCGTAAACATTAATACATACAAATACCTAAAATCGCAACGCTCCTATTTACTATAATTATAACTCACGCGTGAATCAACCATTATTACAATATCTTGAATTCTTTTTTAACCCTTGATCTTGGTAAGAAAAAACGTTTATACTGTATTTAAAACGGAATACTACCGATTTATACATACTGACTGGCTTTTGTTAACCTTAGTTGTGTAAGGGTGAAAAAGTAATACTGTCTTTACTGCATTAAACTTTCTTTATTTAATGCTCGAATTAAACAGCGTAATTCGAATGTTTAATATAGATTTAGGCTTCTAGCTCCTTTATTACATATTTTTCAAGAGCGAGTCCAACCAGCATTTTTAATTTTATTATTATTATTATTATTATTATTTTAACTGACTTATCAACATATATATTCATCATATACTTATCGATTTAAGATGGATACTGGCACTTTACCACCTGAATATTATTCTAAATTAGAAAAGCTGAAAAAAGAATTGGACGATGAAGATATAACCGAAAAGGGATTTGAAAAAAAAAAGAAAGCATTATTAGAAAACTATAAATATTATATTCCAGTCGATAACAATATTTCGTCGATTTCTTCCGCGCCTACTCTCAATTTACCACCATTTGATTATGATAAAAGAACATCACCTGATAACAGCAATATTCCACAAAAATTTTACGCTTCGAATGGAGAAAGTAATCCATTACAAAATTTTGGTTCAGACAATAATAACCCTCAACTCAATCTTTATCTTGATGATGAGAATCCTTATTTTCGCAATCAACACCGTAATTCAACTCAAACTAGAATACCTCCACATGTAAAAGTATCACCATCACATAATCGTACTCATAGTGAAAACGACGCAATTGATAGTTTTAAGTGGAGGCCTCCCATAGTATCGCGAGCAACTGATCCTAGCCAATCGAACGTAAATTTTCTTACAACTCCACCTGTACCAGCTTCTTTAGATCCCAATCCTTCACAATGGGGGAGTAGGTCATTACCACCTACACCAGGTTATATGCCCGTACAACAAGGTTATAATCCCTCATTTCCCTATCATTCTTCACCAGCCGGGTATGGCTCAGGTGTGAGTCGACCAATGATGGTGAGACCTAGACCACCATTACCACTACCACCATATCCAATGCCCTACCCAAATGGTATGTATAGTTCAGTGCATAGACCAATACCCGGTCCAAATGTTAGACCTCAACCACCAAGGCCGGTGCAATATATTCGTCCACTTTTTAATGATAATCCAACGGTAGGAAGGACACAGCAGATTATTAACGATGAGTTGGATGTGAGTGCGGAAGGTACTAGGATTACGATTCTAATGTTTATTTATTATGTTTATTTATTATGTAAATTATTTTATCAAAAATTGACTATATTAAATATTTTTAATAGCTACCAAAGTTCAAGATGATAATGAATCAATTAGATCTAGTACATCTTATGCTTTCAAACTGGATGGTTTAATAAATCCATCTATACCTAGCATTGAAAGATTTACCAAATCCGATGATAAAATTGGAATAAGTAATTTTTTGTTTTTTTATATTTATATTCTAATAATAATTAATAATAATAATTATTATTATTATTAATTAATAATAATTATTATTATTATTTATTATTATTATTATTAATTAATAATTTTTAAATTATTTATATTTAGATCCTGAAAATAGACTTTCTAAATATAATCAGCAAATATACTACTAAAAAAAACTTACAAATGACTTCCTCATACAACTTTTTAACTCTCTACTTCTCTGGTTTAACAA